GGAAAGAGGAGAGGGGCAGAAATGTCTATTGTTATAGCCACTGTCCGCATTTATGACATGGCCAGAATTCCCTTGGTTCCTTGTGCCACAGGTCAGAGTTCACACTGTATGGGCCTATAGCATCCTACTCTTGACTCAATCTTTTCTCCAAATTCATGGTTCCCTGAATGATCGTATTGTTTGTCCAATTTGTTTGCTCCTTTAAAAAAAAAAAAAATTTACGATGTAAAGGTTTTTTCTTCTCCTGTGTGTCTCATTAAAAACAGAAAGATTCCATGCTAAATGAAATCTGGAACGGCCGGTGGAAATTCTCCTGGGTCTGTAGCTGACCCCAGAGTGACTGGGCACCTTGTTCTTAAACACTAAGCAGGGGGGAAAAGAGAAATCCTTGACTCACTGTGAGCTCAATGTGAGCCTTCTATACCAGTTGTAAAATGGCTTATTCTTCTGGTCACCATGGTGACAATTAACAGTGTTTCAAGGCCTTTTGTTCCAGACCCGTTTGAGCAGAATTTTCTCAACCGGGGTGATTTTCAGTACACACACACACACACACACACACACACACATACACACACATACACACACACACAAAACAACTCCACTCAACAACTTTAGTGCTTCCATTTAGCATAAACAGTCTAGAATTATATCTGAATCAAGAGTTTATGTTTTCCTTTTCCTCTTTAAGAACACACGGAATATTTCTTCCTGTTCTTTCATGGCTGGAGCTTGTCTATCTATCAGGGAGACAGGGCCCCTCTCTCATCAGCTGTAGAGGCCTGCAGACCTCTCTCTATCTCCGAGAGAGAGCAGAGATGAGAGAGAGAGAGAGAGCAGGAAGAGGAGTGAGATATCGAAGAGAGAGAGCTAGCAGAGAGAAGTCGATTCCCTCTCTCTCGGAAGCGTCTCTCTCTCTCTCTCTTCTCTCTATATCTATATCTATCTGCGTCTCTATCTTCTCTCTCTCTCTTTACTTCTCTAAATGGAGGGTTTATCCTCCTCCTCTCCCCAGCCCCTGTCTTCCTCTCCTTTGACACTGTCAACAGCAAATTGTAGGTAGTGAGGATGTTGGCTTGGCACCACATCAACGAGCGCCCCCCACCCCAAATTGATGAAGTAATTATCATATTTGTCGGCTTTGTTTTCTTAAGGTTTTGTTGGTTAAAGAGAGCACATTCCCCACTGAGGATGCTCTTAAGTCAATCTGTACCACCACAGCGCACTATTTTATGAGGTAGAGGTGGCCCATTGCATTGCTAGGCTTTATAAGCATTGAGTTTAACAAGCTTAGTATTTACAAGCACTGGAATGTGTGAATACTCTGTTTTATTAATGTCATCTTTATGATTTAATATGTGGTAATGTTTCACCTTAAAAAAAATATATATATATATTTAGATTGTACGATGATGTATACGCACAATACACCTGTTATTAGTGTGTTATTGTTGTTCCAATAAACAGTATATTGGTATTATTTTGGCAGCTAGCTGCAGAGTCCATTGTACTTTGTTGGATGTTAACTGTGAGTTTTCATAGAGGCTGGTTTGTGGTGGCTGGCAGTAATGTGTTAACTATATAACTGTGTATAAATTCATTTAAATACGGAGGCATTCGACTCACTTCATGGAGTCTTACTTCTGTTGTCTCAACACGTTACAGACTCTGAGCAAACTTTAATTTAATGGATAAGATGAATCTACAAAAATGCATTAAATGTTTTCATGTATGACTGCATTTCTGCTGACATTTCCAGTCTTTCGTACTCATTAATATGTGGAATGAATTAAAGTTATGATTGCTTGTTGATTTTCCTCATCTATTTTCATGTGACTCTCTTTTTTGGAGAGCACACAGTTCTTTTCCATTCCACCCCCCTACCCCCCACTCCATTCCACCACGCCCCCTCTCTCGCTTTCTCTCAACCCCTCATAGACCCGTCACTCCAACTAAGTTAGACACTTTTTTTCTTAAAGCTCGTCTTCATCTAGCGTCAAGTCATAAAACTGTGCTTGATTGTTGTGTTCAACATAAAATTGAGTATATTTTCACATAATGACAGCAATTGCACAGGTGTACTATTGGTGTACTATATTACATGTTTTATAACTTCATCCTATGATCCTTCCAAAGCTATTTCACAAAGTTAAGGTATGCAGATCCTTGGCTATTCTAGCTTAGACAGAGACTGGAGGCTATAACTCACCAGTGCGTTCAGTGTATTTTATCAAAGATCCTTCTCAGCATTAATCTCAAAGTTTGGATCTCATGCATTTTAATCACTTATCTACTTTATTCTCCTGTAATGTTTTGACTTTCGATCAATGATGTGCCATTTTTAAACAAAAGAAGACTCGTAAAGTCAATATTTGCTGTCAACAAATAAATTGTATCACTTCCTGATAGTTAGATGGTAACACATTTACTTTTACAGGCGGCGCTATTAAAAATCTGAAAGGGATGAATGGCTTCAGAGGAATTGTGATACCATCTCCATCAAAAAATCGACAATGAAAAATGGTTCCTGGACTGATGACAGTTCAAAAAAGGAAAAAACAGGAGTACATTTAAAATATTTAAATGTGGCTGGGCTGTAATGATAAATGACAACCGAAAACTAGAATCAAGTAGCTATTGATGCAGAAAATGAAACGGGAGGGAAGAGAGAGAAATTAACCAAAAATATGTGAGATTGAAGAGTGTCAATTTCATACTGTTAAAGTAAGCTTTTCTTCAGCCATTTAACTGAAAATGTCAGTTCCGAAAACATATTCCATCTTAGAATATTATAGTTTATGTACACTAAATATGAGTTCCGTGCTATTGTAATGCTGTTGAAAGAATTTATCCCTGATTTCCTTCTTTGAGTAAGATAGCTTGTTGGTGGAGAAATAAACTCAGACAGACAGAGAGAGAGAGAAACAGACATGCTCAGTTTATGGCACAAAATATCAGAGCTTTTTTATTTTAAATGTCTGTTTGCCTTTGTGTGCAGCAGGGGGGCTGCACTGCTGTGTTCACCAGTTTAATGGATGACATAGTCAGTGCTGTGGATTGTGAGCAACTCTACAGTACACTATGTACTCCAATGTGTGCAAATTGTGTCTCAAATAGCAAATATCCCTTTCACAACGGACATCTTTTCCTGCAATTAACTAGCTCTTTGCAGGTACTGGTTTCTGTGTGATTGATGGAAATTAAGGCGGTTAAAATGCACTCTCACGTCTCTGTGTGTGTATCTCTCTGCTTAGCAGTGCATTAGATTACATACATGTAGTCAGTGCTGTGGATCTCACCTCTACAGTACAGTGAGGGAAAAAAGTATTTGATCCCCTGCTGATTTTGTACGTTTGCCCACTGACAAAGACATGATCAGTCTATAATTTTAATGGTAGATTTATTTGAACAGTGAGAGACAGAATAACAACAACAAAAATCCAGAAACACGCATGTCAAAAATGTTATAAATTGATTTGCATTTTAATGAGGGAAATAAGTATTTAACCCCCTCTCAATCAGAAAGATTTCTGGCTCCCAGGTGTCTTTTATACAGGTAACGAGCTGAGATTAGGAGCACACTCTTAAAGGGAGTGCTCCTAATCTCAGTTTGTTACCTGTATAAAAGACACCTGTCCACAGAAGCAATCAATCAATCAGATTCCAAACTCTCCACCATGGCCAAGACCAAAGAGCTTTCCAAGGATGTCAGGGACAAGATTGTAGACCTACACAAGGCTGGAATGGGCTACAAGACCATCGCCAAGCAGCTTGGTGAGAAGGTGACAACAGTTGGTGTGATTATTCGCAAATGGAAGAAACACAAAAGAACTGTCAATCTCCCTCGGCCTGGGGCTCCATGCAAGATCTCAGCTCGTGGAGTTGCAATGATCATGAGAACGGTGAGGAATCAGCCCAGAACTACACGGGAGGATCTTGTCAATGATCTCAAGGCAGCTGGGACCATAGTCACCAAGAAAACAATTGGTAACACACCGCGCCGTGAAGGACTGAAATCCAGCAGCACCCGCAAGGTCCCCCTGCTCAAGAAAGCACATATACATGCCCGTCTGAAGTTTGCCAATGAACATCTGAATGATTCAGAGGAGAACTGGGTGATGTGTTGTGGTAAGATGAGACCAAAATGGAGCTCTTTGGCATCAACTCAACTCGCCGTGTTTGGAGGAGGAGGAATGCTGCCTATGACCCCAAGAACACCATCCCCACCGTCAAACATGGAGGTGGAAACATTATGCTTTGGGGGTGTTTTTCTGCTAAGGGGACAGGACAACTTCACCGCATCAAAGGGAAGATGGACGGGGCCATGTAGCATCAAATATTGGGTGAGAACCTTCTTCCCTCAGCCAGGGCATTGAAAATGGGTCGTGGATGGGTATTCCAGCATGACAAGGACCCAAAACACACGGCCAAGGCAACAAAGGAGTGGCTCAAGAAGAAGCACATTAAGGTCCTGGAGTGGCCTAGCCAGTCTCCAGACCTTAATCCCATAGAAAATCTGTGGAGGGAGCTGAAGGTTCGAGTTGCCAAACGTCAGCCTCGAAACCTTCATGACTTGGAGAAGATCTGCAAAGAGGAGTGGGACAAAATCCCTCCTGAGATGTGTGCAAACCTCGTGGCCAACTACAAGAAACGTCTGACCTCTGATTGCCAACAAGGGTTTTTCCACCAAGTACTAAGTCATGTTTTGCAGTGGGGTCAAATACTTATTTCCCTCATTAAAATGCAAATACATTTATAACATTTTTGACATGCGTTTTTCTGGATTTTTTTGTTGTTATTCTGTCTCTCACTGTTCAAATAAACATACCATTAAAATGATAGACTGATCATTTCTTTGTCAGTGGGCAAACGTACAAAATCAGCAGGGGATCAAATACTTTTTTCCCTCACTGTATGTCCTGTAGTGTGCAGACAGTGTCCCTCATCATCTTACCCATGTCTCTCTCTCACGTGTCTGTCCCCAGGGGAACAGTGTAGAGATGAGTATGTGGCACCCTAAGAAGACACACATCCTGGGCTGGGCCGAGTGCCTGCGGAGGAGCGGAGCACAGCTGCCCCCGGACTTCGACGAGCGCGTCAATGCCATGACACACAAGTGGGACCAGCTGCAGGTGAACACACACACATGCCGTAACACTATTCCACCTTCTGTACTGTTAATACTGGAGATCCAGAAAAATAGACAGAATGGGTCAACATGATGATATGACCTTCTTGTGGGTAACTCATTGTTACCTGCATAAATAAAACAGTTGATCTGCTGTTTTTAGGTAAATCAAAAGGAACGCGCACCAGGCCCCCCGCCCTGCCTGTCCCCCAGTCAGTCCCGTTCAGACTCCAGTGCACTAATGCGGGTCAATATCCCACCTGAGAGCCTGTCTGTGTCTCAAATGGCATCCTATTTCCTATATAGTGCAGGGTTCTGGTCAAAAGTAGTGCACTATGTAGGGAATAGGGTGCCATTTGGGCACAGGCCCTCTCTCGGTTCGCAGGGAACCCTGTGGAGATGGAGCTGGCTAGCAGCTCAATTGAAGTGAGTGAATCAGGATAAAGCCTTGCTGCTACGCCTCTGAAATGATGAACAGGCCTGGGGCTCCTACTCCTTCTCCCACCCCCAAACCCTCTTATCTATGCAACACATGAACACTACACCAAATACAGTACAGTAGCTAGGTACCCTGCCTTGTCTACCCCCCACCATCCACCCCCACCCCCCTGCTTAGAGGGCGCAGCTCAGCTATATCCATATCTTGGATATCAGCCAGGGAAGCAGGAGATGGTATCGGATCGGAGACGCCTGCCTGCTCTAGTCTTGATGATCCTGTTAATGGTACGGTATGGCTGGCTTGTTGATCCTTATCGGACCGACTGGGGTTCAACTGTGCATTGCTCTTAGAGGCTAATTTTAGGTTAATCACTGTTCATCTAATCTCTGAACATGAGAAATATAATTGCTGGTCTCTCAATTAGCAGGGCATGTTCCTGTTCTAGTAGTACCCCAAGCAGCTTCTCCTCATATCCACCCTTTCGCTCTCCCTGGGGTTGACATGGTTTGCGTCCCAAATGGCACCCTATTCCCTATATAGTGCACTACTTTTGACCAGGGGCCCATAGGGACTATATAGGGAATAGGGTGCCATTAGGATGCAGACATGCACTGATCAAACAACATGTAATTATCAAGATGCCAACAACTCAAACAAACATACCTGGTGTCATTTCTGTAATGTCTGAGTTCCAAGACATATTTTCCGCTATAACACATGAATACATAGACCTAAAACAATGCGTACTCTCGCATAGAAGAAATTAGTGTGTGTCTGTGTTTGCACACATCTGTGTGTCTGTGTGTCTGTGTCTGTGTGTGTGTGTATGTGTGTGTGTGTGTGTGTGTGTGTGTGTGTGTGTGAGAGTGGGTTGGTTTCAGCTAGATAAATATATATATTATTTTCCAAAGCTAAAGAGATGCTGTTTGGAAATTAAGCAACAAACAAGTTTTATTTTCCACCACAGCAATCAGCGATGATTAAAGTTCTATTGAGTTTCCCAAATAAATGTGTGACGTTCGAACAGGATGCTCATGCATAAACAAAGTTCTGTTTAGCGAAGGAATATTTCTTTGGTCTGTGGTGAGTGGCATCGGGCAGAGAGCCGCTACAATGGAATGGCAGTGGTGCGGGGAGTTTAATCTGCAAATTTCTGCTCCCTGCACTGCACATTACGCCATCTCAATTGCATATTAAACAACCCTATCAAGTCAGGCATTGGCATCTGCTGTGCTGACACAAATTGTGAATTAAATGAAATTGATGTCCTCTGTCGTATATATTTATGAAGACAGACCATTCTCTGAAGTATTCTGCTTATGAAGAATTTATGATTGCAAACTGTTCCAGAACAAAATAAAGTGGCAATAAATTCCTTTTTTTGTGTCCCTGACCCTCCAAGGGCATTTGGGTTCACCTCTCTCTCTTCAGCGCTCTGTTCATCACAGGGCAAAAACAATGGCTATATCTGGAGTCCATTGAGTGCTTTCAAATTATCGATATTCAAACGAGGAGAGGAGAGAGAGAGAGAGAATGGAAGAGAAAATGAAACAGAGAATGAGAGAGAGAGAGAGAATGTTAGGGAGGGATTCTTGTTAAGGGAGGGAACGTATACGATGCTCTTTGCTGGGAGGCAGCCACATCAGTAAGTCCAGAGGACACTTATGGTGTTTTGAGGTACAGATAATCAAAGTAGAACGTTATTGGAATCAATATTGAAAATCCCATACAGTGGAATTGTTTACGGTTTATGTGTGACTCATATCACCTCACTGACAATATCTTAAAGCTAGGTGTCCTCTCCTATTTTTAATTTCCTACTCCATCATTTCACATCACAACACTGTAGTATTAAGTGCTCTTTTGTTTCTCACAGTGACTCTAAAACATGCAAGTCAAACCCGTCTAGTCATAGACTCTGGACTGCCATTAACACGTTCTCTGACAGCCACACAGGTGTGTTAGCTAATATAGAAGGAGCTGTAATGGAGGATCAACACACTACAGTGTTTAATTGGTGCAGCCAGCCAGCGATCTAGCCCCAAAATGGCCACTTCATTGCTGACTCACTCACTCATAATCACATCTGTTTCCATTACAGCTTGCAAAACATCCACCAGCACACAGCACCAACACAAAGGACTGACAATTAAACCAACCAGTGTGTGTATTAATTGGATAATGGAGTGTTTTGCCACTCTACAATTGGGCTCCTCTGCGTACAGAGTTCAAGCCCTGTGTGTGTGTGTGTGTGTGTGTGTGTGTGTGTGTGTGTGTGTGTGTGTATGTAACTCACACACTCTGGCTCCAAAAGTAGCTATAGCGTAGCTCTCATTTCCCAGGCAGGTGGGAACTCATTCAGTCACACTCACATGTCAGTGACTGCATCCCAAATGTCACCCTATACCCTTCATAGTGCCCTACTTATGACCAGGGCACTGGTCGAAAGTAGTGCACTATGTAGGGAATAGGGTGACATTTGGGTCACAGGCAGTGTCTGTCAGGCTGGGGCTATACACAGCGTGGTGCTGTTTGCTCTGCTATAGAAGGAGGGGGAAATTGCTCAGCAGAGTCCTATTTGGGAAATCGTTGGAGGGTATTTGTGGTTCTGATTGTTATCTACTCCTTTCTGTGTGATTCTCTGAGCGGCAACGCTGAATATACGGCAGTACTGAAAATACGTCCAGAATTAGCCACCTTCATCTTTAGAATGGAGCAATAATAGTGGTATGATCAGCGCTGTTTGAGACTTGTTGATAGTAACAACATCTGCACATTTATTCGCTTGTTGAAATTGACAACTTGATGAGCTTTTTGCTAGAATGTAGCATTGCCAAGAGTGAAGGAAGTGTCAAACAGAGAGAGCTATCAGATCACAATAATGTTGCAATATCTTTCCCACCTGCTGTCAGTATATTAATGCAACAGTACTCTGTACCACTCTGAAATGATTGTACATGGTCGCTAACAATGATAACTGGTACTGTCACAGTCTCTAACCCTCCTTCCTCCTCTCCTCTTGGTCTCCTCAGAAGATCCTGGGGGAGTCTGTGGGGAGCACCAGTCTGCCCCAGGACCCTCGCTCTGCCCTGTCCCCTCACACCGGCAGCCTGCTGGGCCAGCTGGAGGGCAGGATCAAGGATCTGAAGGTGTGGCTGAGAGACACAGAGCTGTTCATCTTCAACTCCTGTCTGAGGCAGGACACAGAGCAGGACCTGCAGGCCTCCACCCAGCTGCAGCACTTCAAGGTAGAGACTGAGCACTGCACGCACACACGCACACACGCACACGCACACACGCACACACACACACACACACACACACACACACACACACACACACACACACACACACACACACACACACACACACACATCCAGAGTAGATGAAGGCCCCCTGGGCATAACACTGTCATAACACTACTAGTGATCTGGGTCTAACTGTCACCTGGTCTGGGCTGTAGGGACAGCTACTTTAGAAAGACACTGACTACTAGGGCAGGGGTCTTCAACCTTTTCTTGCCCAGGGACCCCCATCATGTGTCAGCTCAAAAAAAAAATCCTCGTCCTGTCTTGTCATCAGGTGAATGATAATGGCAAGGAGAAGTAATCAGCATTTTAAAATGAATTTGGTAGATAGTGTTTCATTATTTTGCCTTCCCCACATTATACTGGGAAGAGGAAGTGTAAGATCGAATATAGCTATCTATTAGCTAGAAAGGTACTGTATATCCAAACACCTGTTGACTAATACAGCTGTTGAGCTGGTTAAACAAAGGTTAACCATGTGTTGATGTGACCGGTGGAGATTGCCTTACAAATGATCGGCTTACAAATGACCAAAGGATCAGGATTGGTGTTGATCTTTTCTTCTCTGATAATGACAGGAAAAACGTCCATAAACAAATGCTGTGCTGTCCTTATACGCCAACTCCTCTCTTCCACATGGGTACAGTAGACAGGGCCAATATAACAATACTCTTGTTTCATATAAAAGTACAATACAAGGTAAATGCAATGTACAGTTTGAAAAATGGGCCCAGGCTAGCCAACTTTCTCAATGACAGCCAGGCGTTATGTACAGTGACGTGATGTGTCCTTGAGAAGAGCTAACAGTCAGCTAAATATCGGCCAAATATCTTAACCAACAAAAATGCATTGCATACCTGAAAATGCTGTGCTGCCCTTATACGCCAACTCCTCTGAGAAGTTCAAATTAACAACGAAAGGGGACATGAATAGCCATGCCAGCCCAATGACGACATGTACAGAGAAAAGTACAGTAACTAGCTAGCATGTAAAGCATTCACAAATCAACAGATAAAAAGTTCATAGATGACTGATGTGCATACATATCACAATAGAATGGTGGGAGACCATTAGAATACACTGTCAGTGACCATATAAACTCATTAGAAGTATTTTAACGTATAGGATTGATAATGATTTTCATGGGACAATTTTACAGTAACCTACCTCTTCCACATTGATACATTAGACAGGGAAGAGGTAAGGGAGGGCATGGGATGTTTATGAGGGAGAATACAGAAGGAGAAGGTAGTGTGCGACATTAAAAAGGGCACTTAAAACAACAAAAGGAATGTACACTAATATCAGGCATGGGAACAATTCCGATTTTGCGTAATTATATTACATGAAATTCAACACTTGTTACATTGGCAAAACCTAATGTCTAAGTCGAGAAAGCTTACCAGCAGCCAGTGGCGCTTGCCGCGACGGGTACTTGCGGGTGCTTTTTCAAAGACTATGTCAGATACTCCAGTGAGTGTAATCTCTCTGTACTTTGGTCCGTTCATCTTTCCCTCTATCCTGACAAGTCTCCCAGTCCCTGCCGCTGAAAAACATCCCCACAGCATGATGCTGCCACCACCATGCTTCACCATTTCCTCTAGACGTGGCGCTTGGCATTCAGGCCAAAGAGTTCAATCTTGGTTTCATCAGACCAGAGAATATTGTTTCTCATGGTCTGAGTCTTTTAGGTGCCTTTTGGTAAACTCCAAGCGGGCTGTCATGTGCCTTTTTACTGAGGAGTGGCTTCCGTCTGGCCACTCTACCATAAAGGCCTGATTGGTGGAGTGCTGCAGAGATGGTTGTCCTTCTGGAAGGTTCTCCCATCTCCACAGAGGAACTCTGGAGCTCTGTCAGAGTGACCATTGGGTTCTTGGTCACCTTCCTGACCAAGGCCCTCTCCCACGATTGCTCAATTTGGCCGGGCAGCCAGCTCTAGGAAGAGTATTGGTGGTTCCAAACTTCTTCCATTTAAGAATGATGGAGGCCACTGTATTCTTGGGGACCTTCAATGCTGCAGAAAGTTTTTGGTACCCTTCCCCAGATCTGTGCCTCGACACAATCCTGTCTCAGAGCACTACGGACAATTCCTTCGACCTCATGGCTAGGTTTTTGCTCTGACATGCACTGTCAACTGTGGGACATTATATAGACAGGTGTGTCCTTTTTTTCAAATCATGTCCAATCAATGGAATTTACCACAGGTGGACTCCAATCTATAAGGGATCGGGGTTTGGCTGGATCTAGATAGAGTCTGACACTTCCCCGGGGTTTGGCTGGATCTAGATAGAGTCTGACACTTCCCCGATCTACAGAGAGGGGGAGTCATCAGACTCGATCTGTTTCACCTGAGTTCTGAGCACACCTGTCAGTAATTAGAGTAGGATATAAGGTGTGCTCAGAAGTTCAGTCAGTGCGAGGTATTGTTCCTTTGTGACTTGCTAAGCGTTTTGTTCAGAGAGAGAGAGAGTTTGTTTTTGATTACCAGTGTACCAGACCTGTGCTTCGTTGTTTGACTCCCCGAATTGCTTAATCCTCTGCTTGTCTATCCCAGTGATTACCGTACTCTGAACCTGTGCCCGTGCCCTCGACTACGACTACGCCCGCTCCCTTGGTACCTCTGCCTGTCTCTGCCTTGCCCGGTTTTGACCACAGCTCGCCAGACCACGATTAAGCTATTTCCTTGTCTGGACTCTAATAAAGCATCGCAATTCTGCGATTGGATCTTACCACTCTGTCCGAGTATTCATTACACAATCAAGTTGTAGAAACATCTCAAGGATGATCCATGGAAACAGGATGCACCTGAGCTCAATTTCGAGTCTCATAGCAAAGGGTCTGAATACTTATGTAAATAAGGTATATCTGTTTTGCAAACATTTCTAAATAATTGTTTTCGCTTTCCCATTATGGGATATTGTGTGTAGATTGATGAGGGAAAAAAGTTATTTAATCAATTTTAAAATAAGGCTGTAATGTAACAAAATGTGGAAAAAGTCAAGGGGTCTGAATACTTTCCGAATGCACTGTGTATATGGTATAATTTCTTTCCGCAGACCACCTGCACTAGAGGTCCACGAACCCCAGGTTGAATATCCCTGTACTAGAGTCCTAGGGACTCTGAGGACTGCTACTGTAGGTATGAAGAATGAAGGTGGGAATGATCATATATCATATATCAGCACATATCAAGGAAACACAAGGGCGTTGGGCCACCACGAGCCACCAGAACAGCTTCAATGCGCCTTGGCATAGATTCTACAAGTGTCTGGAACTCAATTTTTTTTAACCAGGTAAGCCAGTTGAGAACAAGTTCTCATTTACAACTGCGACCTGGCCAAGACAAAGCAAAGCAGTGCGATAAAAAACAACAACACAGAGTTACATATGGGGTAAACAAAACATAAAGTCAAAAATACAACAGAAAATATATATACAGTGTGTGCAAATGTAGCAAGTTATGGAGGTAAGGCAATAAATAGGCCATAGTGCAAAATAATTACAATTTAGTATTAACACTGGAATGATAGATGTGCAAGAGATGATGTGCAAATAGAGATACTGGGGTGCAAATGAGAAAAATTATTTGCCTAGTAGTGATTTATAGATGACCTGGAGCCAGTGGGTTTGGCGACGAATATGTAGTGAGGACCAACTAACAAGAGCGTACAGTTCACAGTGGTGGGTAGTATATGGGGCTTTGGTGAAAAAACGGATGGCACTGTGATAGACTACATACAATTTGCTGAGTAGAGTGTTGGAGGCTATTTTGTAAATGACATCGCCGAAGTCAAGGATCGGTAGGATAATCAGTTTAACGAGGGCATGTTTGGCAGCATGAGTGAAGGAGGCTTTGTTGCGAAATAAGAAGCAGATTCTAGATTTAACTTTGGATTGGAGATGCTTAATGTGAGTCTGGAAGGATAGTTTACAGTCTAACCAGACACCTAGGTATTTGTAGTGTCCACATACTCTAGGTCAGACCCGCCGAGAGTAGTGATTCTAGTCGGGTGGGCGGGTGCCAGCAGCGTTCGATTGAAGGGCATGCATTTAGTTTAACTAGTGTTTAAGAGCAGTTGGAGGCTACGGAAGGAGTGTTGTATGGCATTGAAGCTCGTTTGGAGGTTTGTTAACACAGTGTCCAATGAAGGGCCAGATGTATACAAAATGGTGTCGTCTGCGTAGAGGTGGATCTGAGAGTCACCAGCAGCAAGAGCGACATCATTGATATACACAGAGAAAAGAGTCGGCCCAAGAATTGAACCCTGTGGCACCCCCATAGAGACTGCCATAGGTCCAGACAACAGGCCCTCCGATTTGACACATTGAACTCTATCTGAGAAGTAGTTGGTGAACCAGGCGAGGCAGTCATTTGAGAAACCAAGGCTATTTAGTCTGCCAATAAGAATGCGGTGGTTGACAGAGTCGAAAGCCTTGGCCAGGTCGATGAAGACGGCTGCACAGTACTGTCTATTATCGATCGCGGTTATAATATCGTTTAGGACCTTGAGCATGGCTGAGGTGCACCCATGGCCAGCTTGGAAACCAGATTGCATAGCGGAGAAGGTACGGTGGGATTCGAAATGGTCGGTGATCTGTTTGTTAACTTGGCTTTCAAAAACTTTCGAAAGGCAGGGCAGGATGGATATAGGTCTGTAACAGTTTAGATCTAGAGTGTCACCCCCTTTGAAGAGGGGGATGACCGCGGCAGCTTTCCAATCTCTGGGGATCTCAGACGTTACGAAAGAGAGGTTGAACAGGCTAGTAATAGGGGTTGCGACAATTTCGGCTGCTAATTTTAGAAAGAAAGGATCCAGATTGTCTAGCCCAGATGATTTGTAGGGGTCCAGATTTTGCAGCTCTTTCAGAACATCAGCTGTCTGAATTTATGTGAATGAGAAGGGGAGGGGGGGGGGGCATGGGCAAGTTGCAGCGGAGGGTGCAGAGCTGGTGGCCGGGGTAGTGGTAGCCAGGTGGAAAGCATGGCCAGCCGTAGCAAAATGCTTGTTGAAATTCTCGATTATTGTAGATTTATTGGTGGTGATAGTGTTTCCTAGCCTCAGTGCAGTGGGCAGTTATGAGGAGGTGCTCTTATTCTCCATGGACTTTACAGTGTCCCAAAAGTTTTTGGAGTTAGTGCTACAGGATGTACATTTCTGTTTGAAAAAGCTAGCCTTTGCTTTCCTACCTGCTTGTGTATATTGGTTCCTAACTTCCCTGAAAAGTTGCATATCGCGCGGGCTATTCGATGCTAATGCAGTACGCCACAGGATGTTTTTGTGCTGGTCAAGGGCAGTCAAGTCTGAGGAGAACCAGGAGCTATATCTGTTCTTAGTTCTGAATTTTTTGAATGGGACATGCTTATTTAAGATTGAGAGGAAAGCACTTTTAAACAACAATCAGGCATCCTCTACTGACGGAATGAGATCGATATCCATCCAGGATACCTGGGCCAGGTCAATTAGGAAGGCCTGCTTGCTAAAGTGTTTTAGGGAGCGTTTGACAGTGATGAGGGGTGGTCGTTTGACCGCAGACCCGTTACGGACGCAGGCAATAAGGCAGTGATCGCTGAGATCCTGGTTGAAGACAGCGGAGGTGTATTTAGAGGGTAAGTTAGTCAGGATGATATCTATGAGGGTGCCCATGTTTACGGATTTAGGGTTGTACCTGGTAGGTTCCTTGATAATTTGTGTGAGATTGAGGGCATCTAGTTTGGATTGTAGGATGGCCGGGGTGTGAAGCATATCCCAGTTTAGGTCACCAAGCAGTACGAACTCTGAGGATAGAAGGGGGGCAATCAATTCACATATGGTGTCCAGGGCACAGCTGGGGGCTGAGGGGGGTCTGTAGCAAGCGGCAACAGTGAGAGACTTATTTCTGGAAAGGTGGATTTTTAGAAGTAGGAGATCAAACTGTTTGGGCACAGACCTGGATAGTATGATAGAGCTCTGCAGGCTATCTCTACAGTAGATTGCAACTCCACCCCCTTTGGCAGTTCTATCTAGACGGAAAATGTTGTAGTTGGGGATAGAAATGTCTGAATTTTTGGTGGCCTTCCTAAGCCAGGATTCAGACACTGCTAGAACATCAGGGTTGGCGGAGTGTGCTAATGCAGTGAATAACTCAAACTTAGGAAGGAGGCTTCTGATGTTAACATGCAAAAAGCCAAGGCTTTTACGGTTACATAAGTCAATAAATGATAGTGCCTGGGGAGAAGGAGTGATACTGGGGGCTGCAGGGCCTGGGTTAACCTCTAAATCACCAGAGGAACAGAGGAACAGAGGAGGACTTTAGGCTTTAAGAACTGGTCTTCTAGTGTGTTGGGTACAGAGAATAAAGGGGGCAGATTTCCGGGCGTTGTAGAATAGATTCAGGGCATTATGTACAGACAAGGATATGGAATGATATGAGTACAGTGGATGTAAACCTAAGCGTTGGGTAACAATGAAAGAGATAGCATCACTGGAGGCACCGATTGAGCTGGTCTCCGTGTGTATGGGGGGTGGAACAAAGGAGCTATTTGAGGCAGTTTGAGAGGGACTTGGGGCTCTATAGTGAAATTGTATAATAAGAACTAACTGGAACGGCAATAGGCAAGGCATATTGACATGGGAGAGAGGCATAAAGCAATCACAGGTGTTATTTGAGAGAGCTAAGACAACAACTGGTAATGGCGATGAAAGTTTGGGCTGAGGCTAAACAGATAAAACAGGACAGGGTACCGTGTAAAGGAACAGTCCAGCAGGCATCAGCTGTACAGCTGAGTGATCATAAGGTCCAGTGAACAGCAATGTGAGTCCGAGAGCAGTTCGAATTGGTGCTACAGCACAGGCGATCAGGAAGCACGGCTGTTGAATTGCGTATGCTAACGGGCCGGGGCTAGCAGATGGATCTTCGTGGTCTTCGCAACGGGAAGCCTGTTGAAACCACAGACGGCAGACCAGTCGTGATGGATCGGCGGGGCTCCGTGTCGACACTAGGAGGTCCCGTCCGGTTGACAGAGAGGTAGATAGCCAGGAGATGTGCCTGACTCGAGGCTAGCTCAAGGCTGATTAGCTAACCACAACATCCATTCGGTTGCAGCTAGCTAGTTGCGATGATCCGGTGTTAAAGGTCCAGTGATTCAGTGATTCCGGCAGAAAATCCGATATGTTTTGGGTCGATAAAGCGCTGTGCAGACAGTGCAGACTGGCCGATAATAGTCCAGGCCAGAGCTGGCTGGTAGGTAGTGCAGGCCACGGACAATGGTGGAAAAAAAACGCTAACGGTGGCTAATAGCAAGTAGCTAGTTAGCTGGCTACTCCCATCCGGTAGACAGAGAGGTAGATAGCCGGGATATGGGCCTGGCTCGAGGCTAGCTCAAGGCTAACTGGTGCTTGATTCGGGGGCAGTGGTGATTAGTCAACAGCAACATCCATTCGGTTGCGGCTAGCTGGTTGCGATCCAGTGTTAAGGTCCAGTGATTCAGTTATTCCGGCAGAAAATCCGATGTTCTGGGTGAAAACCGCTAACGGTGGCTAATAGCAAGTAGCTAGTTAGCTGGCTAGCTAGTTTCAACTGGAGATTCTAGATAAAAAGGTAAGTAAATAATAGAATCCGTTCCACATTGAGTGAGGCGGGTTGTAGGAAAGTATATTTAGTAGAAGAATGAAAAGTGTGATAGGGGAATATATACAACAAAATACAAAAAAATGAGAAAAACAGGCTATTTATAATAATAATAATATGCCATTTAGCAGACGCTTTTATCCAAAGCGACTTACAGTCATGCGTGCATACATTTTATTTTTATTGTGTATGGGTGGTCCCGGGGATCGAACCCACTACCTTGGCGTTACAAGCGCCGTGCTCTACCAGCTGAGCTACAGAGGACACACAAAAGTACACGACCGCACTGCTACGCCATCTTGGAATAACTATATAACGATTGGAGGGATGCGATACCATTCTTCCACAAGAAATTCCATCACACACACACACACCCTTTAAACCCCCTATGCTTCTTTGAGACCCCTCTTTCAAAGTCAATGAGATCTCTTCTTCTAGCCATGGTAGCCAAAATAATGGGCAACTGAGCATTTTTATATATGACCTTAAGTATAATGGGTGTTAATTGTTTAATTAAAGATGTTCTCTGGTATATTGTATACTTTTTAGCCAGTAGTTCTGAATGTAGCATCCACGAGCCAAAAGTGGTCCCTGAAAATTACGTACTACGTCACAAATGTGCAGATATGTACACCACATCATTGCCCTCTCTCTTGCTCAACTGTGTGTGCGTCTTGCTAGCTGTCACTTAAATAATGTGGGGCTGAAGCTCATTAGCTGAAACTCGAATTGCTAGGCGTCTGACCCAGGTGTCTGGGGGTAAATCTAGGTAAAATGGCGCCGCACAGCTTCCAGAAAACAGTCGCTTTCAAACTAGGGATTTTGTGGCTAATTGAGGTAAAACAGTAATTCTGCTCATAGATTTTGCATGTATGAACTACACATTGACACGTCCAGCCCAAAGCGGGAGGTTTAAAAAAAAATACTTTCTTAGTCGCTAAAGAACCAGAGCATGTCTTTAACTCAGGAACCACACCTGTGTGTAAGCACCTGTTTTCAGTATACTTATCTCTAATTTACTCAAGTGTTTCCTTTATTTTGGGAGTTTGTACTTAGTGTCAAATACTCTGAAACAGGCAGCTTTGAGTGTCTGGTTTTCAATTCAAGTACACTAATACTGTATATATATTTGTAATTAAATGAATGCTTGAGAAAAGAAAATAAAGCTATTTTGACGGAAGCAAATCTATAGGAAACTATTATTTGACTTAAAAAGCTTGAGGAACAACACAGGATATTAATCAAGCCGTGTCACAACACAGGTAGTGGAGTTGAGATTGCTTTCATCACGCTGAGTGACTACTAGCGATAGAGGGAAGAAACCTTAAATATATACAGAGTCAACGCTGAGAGAAATAACACTTTATAAAAGAAGACTTTTCTTTTGATAAGATGTCACTGCACAGAGGGGAAGCATTGATTTCTTGAGAAAACGCCTGGGGAAAAAAGATTAGAAATATTGATAACTGCAATGTGTATGGACAGAGAAGCCATGGCAATAAATAGAAAAAGAGATACAAATATAAAATAAAAAGTGAAAGAGGACCATTTAATGATCATCTATCTGTTTTGGGCTATTCTGCTGTAAATTGATTCAATATCCAGACTTGGCCCCATTACAGTTGGGCTGAACACATCTCAGCAGGAGGCAGAGCTCAGTCAGTCAGGTACATACAGTTCAGTTCTGTAGTTCTCTAGACTAGAGGCTCAGTCAGTCAGGTACATTCAGTTCTGTAGTTCTCTAGACTAGAGGCTCAGTCAGTCAGATACATACAGTTCAGTTCTGTAGTTCTCTAGACTAGAGGCTCAGTCAGTCAGGTACATACAGTTCAGTTCTGTAGTTCTCTAGACTAGAGGCTCAGTCAGTCAGGTACATACAGTTCAGTTCTGTAGTTCTCTAGACTAGAGGCTCAGTCAGTCAGGTACATACAGTTCAGTTCTGTAGTTCTCTAGACTAGAGGCTCAGTCAGTCAGGTACATACAGTTCAGTTCTGTAGTTCTCTAGACTAGAGGCTCAGTCAGTCAGGTACATTCAGTTCTGTAGTTCTCTAGACTAGAGGCTCAGTCAGTCAGGTACATACAGTTCAGTTCTGTAGTTTTCTAGACTAGACTATTCTAGACCCATGGTAAGGATCTGTGGTGTGTGCTGGGAACAATACCAGGACACTGAACAGTGTACAGTATATACAGTTGAAGTCGGAAGTTTACATACACTTAGGTTGGAGTCATTAAAATTCTTTTTTTCAACCACTCCACAAATTTCTTGTTAACAAACTATAGTTTTGGCAAGTCGGTTAGGACATCTACTTTGTGCATAACACAAGTAATTTTTCCAACAATTGTTTACAGACAGATTATTTCACTTATAATTCACTGTATCACAATTCCAGTGGGTCAGAAGTTTACATACACTAAGTTGACTGTGCCTTTAAACAGCTTGGAAAATTCCAGAAAATGATGTCACGGCTTTAGAAGTTTCTGATAGGCTAATTGACATTATTTGAGTCAATTGGAGGTGTACCTGTGGATGTATTTCAAGGCCTACCTTCAAACTCAGTGCCTCTTTGCTTGACATCATGGGAAAATCAAAAGAAATCAGCCAAGACCTCAGAAAAAAAGTTGTAGACCTCCACAAGTCTGGTTCATCCTTAGGAGCAATTTCCAAACGCTTGAAGGTACCACGTTCATCTGTACAAACAATAGTATGCAAGTATAAACACCATGGGACCACGCAGCCGTCATACCGCTCAGGAAGGAGACGCGTTCTGTCTCCTAGAGATGAACGTACTTTGGTGCGAAAAGTGCAAATCAATCCCAGAACAACAGCAAAGGACCTTGTGAAGATGCTGGAGGAAACAGGTACAAAAGTATCTATATCCACAGTAAAATTAGTCCTATGTCAACATAACCTGAAATTCCGCTCAGCAAGGAAGAAGCCACTGCTCCAAAACTGCCATAAAAAAGCCAGACTATGGTTTGCAACTGCACATGGGGAAAAATATCGTACTTTTTGGAGAAATGTCCTCTGGTCTGATGAAACAAAAATAGAACTGTTTGGCCATAATGACCATCGTTATGTTTGGAGGAAAAAGGGGGTTCTTGCAAACCGAAGCACACCATCCCAACCGTGAAGCATGGTGGGTGTGCTTTGCTGCAGGAGGGACTGGTGCACTTCACAAAATAGATGGCATCATGAGGAAGGAAAATTATGTGGATATATACATCTCAAGACATCAGTCAGGAAGTTAAAGCTTGGTTGCAAATGGGTCTTCCAAATGGACAATGACCCCAAGCATACTTCCAAAGTTGTGACAAAATGGCTTAAGGACAACAAAGTCAAGGTATTGGCCATCACAAAGCCCTGACCTCAATCCTATAGAAAATTTGTGGGCAGAACTGAAAAAGCGTGTGCGAGCAAGGAGGCCTACAAACCAGACTCAGTTACACTAGCTCTGTCAGGAGGAATGGGCCAAAATTCACCCAACTTATTGTGGGAAGCTTGTGGAAGGCTACCCGAAACATTTGACCCAAGTTAAACAATTTAAAGGTAATGCTACCAAATACTAATTGAGTGTATGTAAACTTCTGACCCAGTGGGAATGTGATTAAATAAATAAAAGCTTAAATAAATCATTCTCTCTACTATTATTCTGACATTTCACATTCTTAAAATGAAGTGGTGATCCTAACTGACCTAAGACAGGGAATTTTTACTAGGATTAAATGTCAGGAATTGTGAAAAACTGAGTTTAAATGTATTTGGCTAAGGTGTATGTAAACTTCAGATGAAACTGTATTTCAAAATCATAATTTTTTTGTGTGATTATACTTATTTGTTTTTCAAAACACAGAAGACCGAAAACAATATTATGGTACAATTTGAACCTGAATATCATTCTAATGATTTAAGAGCAATACTCGGTTGGAATATGGCGAATGTCAACCCGAATAACACATGAGCTGGTCCCCATGTCTGATGCAGTGCTGTCCAAAATACAGTATTACTCCATTCAGGATCTTTACCTAAATATCCTCTAGTAGAGTTTCTTCTGGGTGCAAAGCATTAACCATCTCCCATCTAATCTTCATAACAGGATTACCGCCACACTTAAAAACCAATGCACCCAACTAAAACACTTAAACACATCCAACTAGCAGTGGATCCCACTTTATACCCTCCTCCATAAAAAGATAGCTAATACCTTATGAATAACACCCATTCATCCCAACTAATGTGAGAAAGCAAACAAATAACCTCAACATGATAATAATGCTATCCATAAGGGTATTAGTGAGAGACTGTCAATGTAATAGGAGCATTAACCATCTCCCATCTAATCTTCATAACAGGATTACCGCCACACTTAAAAACCAACGCACCCAACTAAAACACTTAAACACATCCAACTACCAGTGGATCCCACTTTATACCCTCCTCCATAAAAAGATAGCTAATACCTTATGAATAACACCCATTCATCCCAACTAATGTGAGAAAGCAAACAAATAACCTCAACATGATAATAATGCTATCCATAAGGGTATTAGTGAGAGACTGTCAATGTAATAGGAGCTATTCAAACTCGTCAGACATCAGAGGTATGATCAAAACTAAAAATGTTGGGTGGGTCTGGCCGGTGTGTGTGTCCAGTAATGAGTGTGTCGGTCCTGCGCCTGTCACCTGTCTGCTCCCCATTAACGCCTGATGAGGATCTAACGCTGCGTTTGGCTCTTCTCTCACATGTGAAACTACGTACTCAGACAGCCCCTCTAATGTGGTTAGCACTTGGCAAAGAACAGGAGTTCTTTATTCCTAATCATGGAGAAAGTATTGATATTATATCTGGGCTGTCATATTTTATTAGCTGGACGCCGGCTACAGTAGCCTAGCCTAACCTAGCGGCTCAGACTGGGGGCTGTGCTGTAGGGAGGAGGTCAGTCAGAGAGAGGGGGTTGAGGTGTGTAGATGGACCCAGACCAGGCAGGGAGATGAGAAGAGATTGGGCCTGACCCCCCAGGTGAGATCCCGGCCCCACGTTGGCTTCTAGATCAAAAAACGAGGTAGAAACTGACGTTAGAGCTGATATCTCTAAATCTATGGTGGCATCTCACTGCTCTCAGAGTGTGGAGGAGATAGGGGGAGGTCACTGCAGTCAGTCCAACAGAGAAAAAAACTCCACTTTGAACAAGTCGGTAATCCATTTCTCGAGTAGAAAAATACTAAAAATAGAAATGGGGTTCTGTTGAGAATTAATAAATGGGAATGTTTGATTCTTGCTTCACGAGCCAAAGTTTGACCTCAATGAAAATTGGGGCTTCTTACGGGGAGAGATTAAAATGAATTAGCTCTCTTTGCTTGAGATGGTAGGAGGGAGAAATTCAATGTGAGCAGGAGGAGATCATTGTGAAATAGAACACTCTACGTCTTCCTCAGTGACATATTATCAATCTAATCCTTTTTTTAAACATTTCGTATTACAACAGATTATGGGGGAGGAGGTTTGGTTTGTGGACAAAATACTAATTCCTTAATGCCAAAGCTTGGCATGTAATCTGTGGGAATGTTTTCTAACTAATAGGCTATGTTTAACCTTCAAAAAGAAGCAATATGTTTGAGAGACAGAAAGTGGTGGGAGAAAGGTATTATTAAATGGAAGCTGTGACTAAATTGAACTGTCTGGCCCCCCAGAGCAGTCCGAACACAATAGAGCCTAATTTTAGATGTAATCCCCCTCTGGGAAGTCTGGGATACCATATCTTAAAAGCCTTTTTAATTCAATTAAACTGGGGTTATAGTATGTCTACATTATGAAGACATCTTCTACTGGTTTCTCATTAATGCTGCTGTATGTATGTTGACAGTGGAAGGAAAGGCTTGATGTTGGGATGCTGTGCGCTAAACTACTGTGTTTTGGCTCGCTGGTCAGTCCTGTTTGGTTTGCTTGCATTGAAGCATCTTCAATTCAACTTGAGCATGAGGTCTCGCCTTCCTACACCATCTTCAACCACACTAACAACAAGGGTATTTTGATGATATAGTGGCTATGCTGTTATGCTTACTGAATTGAGATTCCATGTCAATATAAAATAGTGCTTGTTATAACAAGAAACCTCCACACTTATAGGATACAATGAACATTCCAATGATCTATTATTGTAGCTTTTAGCCAACAATTTACATCAGAACATTTAGATAGGAATCAACAGGGGATTTTAAAATGACAGTAATTTTTGTATTTATTAAGGCAGCAGCTACTCTTATTAGGCAGCAGCTACTCTTCCTGGGGTCCAAACAAGATTAAGGCAGTTACATCAAAAAATGGTTTCAATAAAACAGTACATAATACAACACATTATTACACCACTACTCTACCACTACATATCTACAATATAACATGTATAATACCACAATGTAACAATATTACATTACAATGTACAGTACGTGTGTGTAGAGTGCGTGTGTGCGTATGCGTGTTTGTGTTAGCATGTGTCTCTTCACAGTCTGCATTGTACCATAAGGTGTAGATTTATCTGTTTTTTATCTTGATTTTACTGCTTCCTTGAGTTACTTGATGTGGAATAGAGTTCCATGTAGTCATGGCTCTGTGTAGTACTGTGCGTTTTCCAGTCTGTTCTGGACATGGGGACTGTGAAGAGACCCCTGGTGGCATGTCTTGTGGGGTGTGCATGGGTTTCTGAGCTGTGTGCTAGTCATTTGAACAGACAGCGCAGTGCTTTCAGCATGTCAATACCTCTAACAAAGACAAGTAGTGATGCAGTCAATCTCTCCTCTACTTAGAGCCAGGTGAGATTGACATGCATGTTATTGATGTTAGCTCTCCAAGTACATTTAAGGGCCAGGCATGCTGCTTTGTTCTGGGCCAACTGTAATTTGCCTATGTCCCTCTTTGTGGCACTTGACCATATGATTGGGCAGTAATCCAGGTGCAATAAAACTAGGGCCTGTAGGACTTGTTTTGTTGATAGCAATGTGAAGAAAGCAGAGCAGCGCTTTATTACAGACAGACCTCTCCCCATTTTAGCTACTGTTGCATCAATATGCTTTGACCATGACAGTTTACAATCCAGGGTTACACCAAGCAGTTTAGTCTCCTCAATTTGCTCAATTTCCACATGATTCATTACAAGATTGAGTTGAGGTTTAGACAGCTGCCCTAGGGAATGCCCAACTCTACCTGGATTATGTTGGAGAGGCTTCCATTAAAGAACACCCTCTGTGTTCTGTTAGACAGGTAACTTTCGATACATGATATAGCAGAGGACGTAAAGCCATAACACATGTTTTTTTCAGCAGCAGACTATGATCGATACTGTCCCACAATTCTTATTATCAGTCATTTGCCGTACATGTTGAGTACCCTTCCCTATAAGCGTGTTGAAAGTCAGTTGTAATTTGTTTACGGTGAAATAGCATTGTATCTGGTCTAACACTATTTTTTCCAAAAGTTTACTACGGGTTGGTAGCAGGCTGATTGGTTGGCTGTTTGAACCAGTAAAGGGTGCTTTGCTATTCTTGGGTAGCGGAATGACTTTTATTTCCCTCCAGGCCTGAGGGTACACAGGTTCCTGTTAGCTTAGATGTATCTCGTTATACAAGCCCCTAACTATTTGTCAATTACCCAAGCTAATTATCTGCCAGACACTCAGGTGTCTTCCTAGTGTTGTGTGTGTGTGTGTGAGAGAGAGAGAGAGAGAGAGAGAGAGAGAGAGAGAGAGAGAGAGAGAGAGAGAGAGAGAGAGAGAGAGAGAGAGAGAGAGAGAGAGAGAGAGAGAGGGGGGATGGAGCTGGAGGCAGCGAGTCTAAACTATGGGAATATGTATGTGGAACAAGAATTCATTACACTCATTTGAGATAACAAGTGCTTGTGGTTTTAATTGACTTAATCAACAAATAGAATTAATCAGAGATTTCTAATTAATGGTAATTGATTGAATATCCACTGGGTCACTGTCAGAGTTAAATCCCTGTTTCTGTTCCTTTCTACTGGAGGGCGTCTCGTCTGTTCTTGGCGTCTCCATCTTGTCCGCATGTATTAAAAATGGACAGACTGAGGATATAAAGGATAGCAGGAGATCTGTCGATATGTTATTTTACAGAACAACAAACAACATTCTGCGACATACACTCTGATCAAAACAACAAGAGAACACAATGTCTCCGCTAGTCTTATTGAACCGCTGTCTGTAAAATGTTGCTATTTTGAGGTCTCTTTAAAAGTGTTATAATGTCATATCATGGAGTAATACTTCTCTCTGAAAATTCTAGTGGATTTTATTAAGGGAAATGTAACCAAAATCTCGCCCTTGAAGTTACAGTTGTAGGATCTTAATTTGACCAGTATTTTCGCTGCAAAATAATCCTGCAGCAACAGGATTTGAACGTTTAGTCCATGGCATTGCTTGATCTGTGGTTAGGCTATTAGCTGGCCAAAATGATCCTACATGAAAAGTGTAATACTGTTAATATAACCATGTGTTAGTGCAGGTTTTCTGTGAATGTATGTAAATCATGAAGCTCATCTGTATTTCCTGCGGTGTAGGAAAATTATCAACAACAAAGTGATCAAATTAAGATCATACACCTGTAGTTGCATATACAGTATGGTTTTAATATCACAGATAGTCAAGTTCTCACAAGTTTTCACTATGCACTATATCACCGTTTTTTAAAACTCATGTAGGGCCGGTTTCCCAGACACAGATTAAGCCTAGTCCAGGACTAAATAGCACTCTCAGTGGAGATTCTCCATTGAAATAACTTTTTAGTCCAGGACTAGGCTTAATCTCTGTTTAAGCAACCATCCCATGTTGAGTGATCAAATTAAGATCCTGCACCTCTACTGTAGACCTGCTTTTATGTAAAGAGGATGCATGGAGAGACAGTAGAGAGAGAGATGCATACTTGGGAGGTCTCCATTTGCCTGTGCTGTGATTACTGTACCTGCTCTGATAGGGCTGGGTCTGCAACCTGCTACAGCTTAATACAGTACACAAGATGGATCATGCCCAGTGATAGAGTCCTGACTCCTGAGGAGGATGTGATGAGCTCTGAATAGTCATCTCTAATAGTCATTTCTAACAGCCTCTATATTGTGTTTCCAGCTCGACTGGGGCCGCATATTACCAGACAGTTGATCATAAGATTCCTTTATTAAAAACCATCTGATAAGTGTAGCTATACCATCTGTCCGTCTATCTGTGGCTGTGGGCTTGACAGTTCAGTTCATTTGAGAGATGGCTGTTTTGTTTTTTGTTGTGTTTTTTTGGTTGGGCTTTCTGATATCTGGATAAGGACAATAGAGCTTCTTGGAGAGAGGCCAGCACTGACTGGTAGCCCTTCCCAACGCTCGGCCTGAAACGGACTCATTGTATGGTTCTCTCTCTGCATACAGGGAGAAAGCAGACAGACCACTCCACTGCTCCATGTATTTGGAAAAGCTTTTTAGCAAATATTGGCAGACTATACCCCTAGCCTCTATGTCAATAAGGCTAGGACTCAATAGGGAGAAGAAATCAGTTCATGAAACCCAGCAATGCAGAAAGAATGAGGCCGGAGGAGTTTTGAAGAGGGAGTTTGAAAATGTAAAAAGCTTGATATTCCAGTGCCCATTTAGCATGATGCTATTGGCCATAGTTTTAGCTTTCTAATCTAACAGTGTGGAGTAGTACTGTAGCTGATACTGATATGAGATGTATTTACTTTTCTTGACTTACCTTTAGGTACATAAGAACCAGTCTGAGAGAGAAATAAGCAACTTTAGGATCTACTTGTACCCAATGCAATGAGCCTGTAGTGTGTCTGAATGTGTATCCACAATATGGTTGTATCTCAAATGGCAGCATGCGCCCTGGTCAAAAGTAAAGCACTGTATAGGGATTAGGGTGCCATTTGGGACGCAGTTAATGTGTGTATTTTTCAGTCATCTGTCAGTTGTTGAGGGCCACTGACTCTCTAAACCGATGGCTGTTGTACTTTGTACAGGGTAACTTTATCACTGACAACAACCATCCCCCTTCCTCTCAGAACACAGCCATTGCATTTTGCAATCACATTACCTGTTTAAAAAGAACAGGGAGGCCTGTAAATATATGCTAAAACGGGGTGGAAACTGCTGAGAAAAATCCAATTTAAATGTAATAGTGTTTAATATTTATTGGGTAATGTAAAGAAAATGTAAGGGAATGCTTTGCAGAGCAAGCAGGATTTACATAAATTGTTCTCCCAATGTTTTTGTCCTATTGCACACAGACAGGAAGGAGCATTGGTTCTCTAGTCACTATGCCATCGCTGCATATTTAAAAAGGGGGGTCTTGGCCTGGGCCACACACACACACACACACACACACACACACACACACACACACACACACACACACACACACACACACACACACACACACACACACACACACACACACACACACACACACACACACACTGGTGTTTCACTGTTTAAGAAGGTGTTAGTATGTGTTGTGGTTGTTGCAGTTGCATTACACGTGACCTCATACCACCACACGCTGCAGCAGCTAGCGTATTAAAGTTAAAGCAGCCTACAGTGGGGGCTTTGCCCTTTTAATGTTGAATATTTCTCCTGTTTATGGCAGGCATAAAAGGGAGTAGGAGCCTGATTTACATACAATCCTGACAGGGCATATTGTTGTGGGGACCTCATCAGTGGCGTAGGGGGGTAGTCAGGGGCGTAGTGAGGGTAGTCCCTGGTCGACCCCTGAAGTGTGTCTGTGGAGGGAAAAGGAGAGTCTTGGGGTTGTGTCTCAAATGGTACCCTATTCCCTATTTAGTACACCTCTTTGACCAGGTCCCATAGGGCCCTGGGCAAAAGTAGTGCACTATATAGGGAATAGGGTACCATTTGGGACGCCGACAGGTTCTGGGTTGCATTAAGCTACATCTAAGCAAAACAGCAGCAGCAGTAGTAGGAGCAGTAGGGAAAAGAGGCTTTAAAGAGAATAATAAAATGCTAATTTTAAAATCACACATTTGTAGGCTTTACAGAGAGAGGAAAAATATACGATAGCCATGTTCAATTAAGTTCATTAGCAGGTTTTTGGCTGTTAATGGTTTGACAGCTTCGTCTAACTCTTTGAACTATAAAGACTCGTACACACATGCTGGTATTCATGACTTCTTCTCCTGAGTCCCCCACTCCCCACCATGGTGCCAATTAATATGGTTACAAAGGCTACTGTAACTACTCTTAAAACCTACTGTACACTATGGGAAGTTGTGAACAATGGACTCTAAAGGAGTACTCAGAACTTTTTACATTTTTATGTTGACTTTCTCTCTCTCTCTCTTTCTCTCTTTTTCTCTCTCTCTCTCGCTCCCTCTCCTCCTCCTCTCTCCCTCTCCCCCTCCCCCCTCTCTCTGGCCCTCCCCTCTCTAGTCTCTGTGTCTGGAGGTGCGTGGAAGGCGTAAGGGTGTGTCCTCTGTACTGAGGTTGTGCCAGCGGCTGCAGGAGCAGCAGAGTGGTTTAGACTCAGACCAACAGGCCCTGCAGCTTCAGCTGCTCACTGTCAACCTGGAGCGCCGCTGGGAGGCCATCGTCATGCAGGTGCTGCAGTGGCAGACACGCCTCCGTAGGGCCCTGGGGACAGATCAGGTGAGACCTCAGACATGCCCTGCATGGTACCATACGGTTCTAATACTGTTAAGATACTGACCTGACACAATGGGTGAAGCGAGTGGAACTCAATAATGGTATTAGCAATATACAGTATATGCAATATATACTGTACCTCTCAGACCAGATGAGACCTCAGCCCAGCCTGGATGGCACAAATCGGTTCATACAAGTCTGACTGTAAAGATACCTAGACCAGGGATGGGTGATTCCAGTCCTCAAGGGACCTTGGGTGTCTGCTGCTTTTCTCACTTAAATATAATAATATGATATGCCATTTAGCAGACACTTTTATCCAAAGCGACTTACAGTCATTCGTGCATACATTTTTATGTATGGGTGGTCCCGGGGATCGAACCCACTACCCTGGCATTACAAGCGCCGTGCTCTACCAATTGAGCTACACTTAATTGCAGAATTTACCACTTATATACAGCTGGTCACGTGAATATACTTTGTACACAGGGTGGCAGGTAGCCTAGTAACCGAAAGTTTGCTGGTTCGAATCCCCGAGCTGACTAGGTGACAAATATGTAGATGTGCCCTTGAGCAAGGCACTTAACCCTAATTGCTCCTGTAAGTCGCTCTGAATAAGAGCGTCGACTAAAATGGACGTTTATATACTAGTAGCTAGCAATACATTCCGTTTCAGTCATAAAGGTTCAGTTTATGCCCTCTGAAGGAACTCCCCAACTCTAGAATTAGCTATTTATGAGTTGTATTATTCCTCTCAAAGTGAGCTGTCCAGGAATAAGTTATTTAGGCCAGATAAATAGAAGGTAATGCAGTGCCTGGTAATAAAGTACTGCACTGTAACTATAATGGAGTAATAATAGTGATGTATACGGCAGGGAAAGTGGCTGTGGTACATTTGGATATATGGGCTACGTACCAAATGGCACCCTTTTCCTATAGTGAGCTACTTTTGACCAGGGCCCATAGGAATGGGGTGCTATTTGGTACGCAGCCTTGGATATATGAAAGGAGGGGGATGGCGGCTGGTTGGAGAGGATCCCTTCCCATCTGACTGAACCCAGCACTGAACCCACTCCATCAGCAGGTGGTGTTGCCAAAGAATCATTGACTGATGTTAATGTGTTAAGTTCACCATAGAGGATGGAAGTAGCTTGATCTCAAGGCCTGCTGTACGTTCACAATGCAACTCTGTAGCCATTGACAACATTATATATACACCAACATAAAGACTCTTAATAGGGTGTTGGGCCACCACAAGCCACCAGAACAGCTTCACTGCGCCTTGGTAAAGATTCTACAAGTGTCTGGAACTCTGTTGGAGGGATGCGGCACCATTCTTCCACTAGAAATTCCATCATTTGGTGTTTTGTTGATGGTGGTGGAAAACACTGTCTCAGGCGCCGCTCCAGAATCTTCCACAAGTGTTCAATTGGGTTGAGATCTGGTGACGGAGACACAAAGTTGGATTAGAGCGTCTGCTAAATGACTAAAAATGTAAATGTAAATATCTGGCAGTGTGAGACTATTCTATACACAACCCCCATTTTGTTCATAAATGTGTAATGGCACAAGGCTCAGCTCCAAATATTGCAAATAGAGGCTTGTTAAAAAGTGGTTTGAGTAGTAAATGAGTAGTTGCTCTGCAAAGTACCTATGTTTCCTTCAGTCTGTTTCTTTAATGTGGAGAACAGATGGAATCGCCATTAAATCTGTAACTCAGTAAAATGGCCGCCACAACCACCACCTCTTCTATGTTCATATCTTCATAGTCCATAGTCTCTGTCTCTGTCCTCTCGTTTGCATTCCTGGAGGACAGCAACGTGCTACTGCGGACCAGGGTAGGGGTTAATTCAGTCAATTCGGGAGGTGAATTGAAGTACATGAATTAAAGTGTATGAATTCAAAAATATCCTTAGAAAACTATCCCCATAGAAAATCCCCATAGAAACCGAAATGTAACGTTATGAATCACTACCTGGAATTGACTGAATTGAAAACTGAATTGACTCCATCCCTGCTGTGATGGAAGCTCAATCCTCAGCTGTGGTACAAAAGCCCAATGCAGGCAGGGTTTTTGGGTTGGTTGGTTGTCCACTCTGTTATAACCACTCCAGTGCAACAGGAAGGGAAGACAAATAGCAAAGGCCACTAGAAATCTGACCTTGTAGGCTGAAGTGCAATTTCACCTGGACGATGTGTCCAGAATAGGGGAGAAACATAAAACATATTCGCTGGGTTTGTTTATAAATGAAACACTGTGCTCAATGATAAAACGGCTGTGGCTGCTGTGCTAGTCTCTTCTGTAGACACCGGTCCCACACCCTGAGACATTGCAGGCTAGCAGGGCTCACTTTTTCTAGCGTTTGGGTATTTTGAGAGTGCTCCTCTGTTACCATTCCATGGCAATTATTCTACTGTCAGGAAGGGGATTTCTGTGTTCTTGTTTTATTAGTTGCTCATAAAGTGCCTAATAAGACTGCCTAGTCTGTGCTCCTTGTGTGCTCCTTGTGTGCTCCTTGTGACCATTTAGTTCAATCCTATATGTGTTAATGCTATAGGTGAAGGCTTTGGTTCAGATATCTTCTGAGCGCTAAGATCATCTTAAAGGGGCAATCTGCAGTACAAAAAACAACAAAGCGGACACTCCGCCACTGTTTTGGTAAACAGCTGACGGTGGACGAACAATGGTCGTAGTGGAAACTTACCACTGATTAGTTAGTTAGATAGTTGCTTGGTGCAACATTTAGTTGTGTTGTCTAGGTTAGCTGAGGCAGCTAGATAGAGATAATAATATTTTGATTTGATTAGACTGATTGATTGTTCTCACAGCTGAAGGTTTTATCCTGCATTAGCAACCCCAGCTTAGAGTCATTAGGATTTCCCTTATCAGCAAGAAGAGAATAAACAGAAATCTAATAAAAATTAATTACACAGGGTGTGCCACATAGCAAGCGTTAGATTTACCACTTTATTCGATTAATGAGATAAAAATGGCTAATATAAATATGCCCTCTCTCTTATATTAACGAGATGCCAAGCAATTTGTATAATTGTGTCCTCCTTAGCAAAATGTCTGTGTCTAAGCACATTTCAAGACAATGGCACTTTTTTAAAAAGTTGTGCTATGAATGCATTGCTTTTTAAATACTATGATTATGTGATTTAAAGTCCTGTCTAAAATGTAAAGGACTGTATACATCATTTTTTTCAGAATAGATCATTTGATTTCAGTTATTAATCCAGTATAAAAAACAGGACTGCTCTTTTTTTTATTGATTTCAGAAGAGAACATTATGTCATTTCAATCATTTTGAACCATTCAGTTTGAGCTTCTCCCTTTTATCTCTCTGTCTCTCTGAAGGTCCCGGGGAACCTTGTAGAGGCTGGTCTCATGGACCTCCACAGCCCAGCAGAGGACTCCTGGGAGTGGGATGAAATGGACATGACCATCGTGGAGCACATGGAGCCATTGGAATTTGATGACAAACAAAATGCTGAATGTGAATCAGGTCCAGGATCCCCCGGGGCCAGTTTAGACTATGACATGTCCGAGGCGAGCCTGCATGTTACTCAGCGAGGAATGTCCTTGAGCGAATCTTCCGGAGTGATGCCTCTGTCTTCTCAGCGTCCTAGTGTCTATCAGGTGTACAACCTGCATAATGTGGAGCTCTACAGACAGCCTCACATCCTCTCCGTACACAAGACCTCTTCACCAGCCAAAGCTGGGAGGAAGCAGCCTCTTCTGAAGAGCCTGAGCAAAGACTCCTCCTTCTCATCTGTGGAGTCCTTGCCAGACCTCCTAGGGGGTCTGCTCGGCGAGGGGAAGCATGGGGGCCACGGCGAGTCCGCCCGCAGATCAGAGAGCGAGAGCGGGATAGTCAGCGAGGGCGACACGGAGACCACGGCCTGTCAGGAAGACCCCAGGAGAGGGGGCAGCACCTCCCTCACACCGCCCACAGGAGGCGACTCGCCTGGGGAAAAGGACAAAGAGAGGGACAGGGTGTGTGATGAGGACATCGACAGGATCCTGGAGCGGGCCAACAAGGTAGCTCTGTATGGGGACTGTGTGGCTGTCACGGCACTGAGAGAGAGAGACAAAGACCAAAGCAGATCCAAAGCGGGGAAGAATAGGAGAGGAGGAGAGGAAGGATGTGGAGGAGGGGAGAACAGGAGGAGACACAGGAGAGAACCTAATGTGGAGATCCTGATCAACGGACGTGGCCTCTGCCCTGACTCCGAGGAGGATGAGACCCACGATGAGAGGAGAGTGACAGGGGGGAAGGGCCGTAGAGATGGAGAGATTCCCCATCTGTCTCAGGGGTCCTCCCTGGAGTCCCTATACGCAGCGGGGGAGCTATTTCCATTCGTCAAAGACACTCTGCAGCGCTCCATGTCTCTGGAGAGCTGGCTGGCCCCGTGTAAGAGCTGGGAGGAGGCCGAGGGAGATGTAGAGGGAGGCAGCCAGGGCAGCCTGAGGGAGCTGGGCCTAGGCATCGGAGCCATAGAGCCCACAGGGGAACTGAGTCGCAGGACTCTGGAGCTCCTCAAACGCCTGGAGAACATCCAGACCCCGCTACACGGCCTGAAGATGACACGCAGCATCTCTGACATCACCCTGCTGAGCAGCAGCTCCCTGCGCCTCCCGGGGGCTGGATACGGATCTGGGGGGCCCGGGCACGCTGGGCGCCTCTCCGGGGGCCGGGGTGGTCCCCCCTCCTCAGTTAACGAGAGCTCAGCGGCGTCTCTGACGGAGCTGAGCAGCACGGAGGACTCGTCAGTGGGCTCTGAGGACCTGGCGGTGCTGAGGAACCGCTGCTGTCTTCTGGACTCCAATGCCTCCTTCAGGAAGCACCACCACCGGGCCCAGCCGGGAGGTCATCATGGAGGTCACGGGGGTCACGACGAGGCTGACGCCAGCATCAGCATGGTGGTCAACGTGTCATGCACCTCGGCCTGCACGGACGACGAGGACGACAGTGACCTTCTGTCCAGCTCCACGCTGACCCTGACTGAGGAGGAGCTGGGTATCAAAGAGGACGAGGAGGAGGACTCTTCAGTCACATCCGAGGAGGAGTACATGGAGGGCACCTTCGCCCTGGGCCTGGAGTACATGAAGAACGAGTTCCACAACTGGATCCAGAAGCCCACCCGCTCCCAGCAGCAGTCCCAGTCCGGCTCCGGCAGAGACAAGAACCAAGGGGATGACCCTCTAGGGGATGAGCTGCAGTGTGGCACCCTTTCCAGAGATAACACTAGCAGGCCGTCTGTAGGCAATGAGCGCCGCTCCTTCCTGAGCCCCTCGGCGCTGAGGCTCCTTGAGTCCCACACCAACAGCATTGTGAAAAAGGAGTGTCTCCAAGGGCGGGACGTGGGGGACACCAACAGGAAGAATGCCACAAGGAGCTACATCAGCCAGTTTGTAGATGACATGGAGAACGGGAACGTGGACAACTCTCATATCAAAGGGAAGGATGAGGACGATGAGCTGTTGAGAGAGGAGGGGAGCCTTTTCACCATGAAAGGGGAGTCCTTCAAAGACTTCTACGTGAACGAGTCATCGATGAACGGAGGGGAGGACCAGAGAGGGGGAATGATCACGTCCACCACGCCGTCCTCATGTAAGACGCTGTCCCAGCTCCAGGCCAAAGAGTCATCTCTGGAGGGCCAGCTCCAAGGGGAGATCCCCTGCCAGAGCTCCAGCCACCCCTCCCCCTCTCTCTCTCCCTTGGAGGACTGCCGGGGGTCCCACCAACACCACACCCTGCAGAGACCACCACACTCTGGGAACAACAGCCAGGAGAACCTCTTCTCCTCCTTCCTCAGTGATGTCCACACCCAACAGAGCAGACGAGAGGCCGGCTCCAACCCCGGCCCAGACCCCAACTCAGACCGCCCCTGCTGCAGCCACCCCCACCCCCAGCCGCCCCCACGGAAGGACCAGAAGAGCCAGGAGAACGTGCACAACTTTGTGATGGAGATCATTGACATGGCTTCTGTGGTTCTGAAGAACAAGGAAAACCAGGCGGAAGACCAAGAGAGACCCGGCCAGACTGGAGCCCAGATAAGGGACAAAGTCCTGGAGCACTCCCACCGGCCCATTCACCTCCGCAAGGGAGACTTCTACTCCTACTTATCCCTCTCCTCCCACGACTCCGACTGTGGAGAGGTCAGCGTCTGCTTAGACAGCAAAAGCACCACGCCCTTACTGTCGACTACCCCAGACATCCGGGACGAGGAGATGCTGTTCGAGGCCTGCACTGAGGAAGTGTACCTGGGACCTCCTCTCTGCTACAGCATGGCTGTCACCAAGAGGCCCAGGAGGCACAGTCCCAAACTAATGGACTGCTACTCCTCCTCTCCCTCTGCCCAGAGTCAGAGTCAGAGCCAAGCACCTCTGCCCACCTGCAATGAATACCAAAAAGCACATGGTATTTCTCCTGGAAGTATAGCTGAGAGCCAGCTACAGTGCCATAATGAGGCTTCTTATCTTAATCCGTTACCATGTGAAACCCTGATAGACACTGTTGAATGTTTTGCAGATGCTAAAATGCTTGAATCCAATATTTCCCCTGTAATGACTAAGATAAGAGTCTCTTGCTCCAGTACAAATCCTTTAAAAGAGGAAGGCAGCCACTGTATTAATCCTAAAATTAACTGTCCCCCGATAAGAAAGTGTGATAGAGATGAAAAAGGGCCTGCTTCACAGTGGATGAAACAGAAGAGTGTCAGGAAAGGCCACAGCTCTCTTCAGGAACTCAAGTCAACTCATAAACAGCAGCAGGTGAGTTTAGACATTATACAGTACCCACCCTTATATCTCCAGGTAATGGGACTGGTGTGCATTTCAGTCTGTATGTATTCATATCTGGGACTAAATATCGAAGAGGTATTTTTATTCACACCTTCGTTCATCCCCCCTCCCTCCTCCTCCTCTTCTTCTCTGAAGTGTCGATGGAAGAGGGATTTGCTTAGCATCCTCCGGTTAAGAATGTTAAGGTCTACGGAACAGAATAATCATAATCAGTCAGATTATATTATGATTCATAAGCAAGAATTCCCGGCGAAGAATCATTACTTAATTTCATGACTGAATTAGCATGTGTTTGTGTTCTTTTAAGCGGTTTCTCTATTTCATATGCTAAGTTGCCACGGCTCTGGCTGCTCTCTTCAGAAACCTGATGCCTGACCTTCTGTCACACCGTTATCTGTCTGTGTCAATTGGTGAATAATTAAGTGATTACCTTGTAAACTGACGTAATTATAAAAACATCCAACAAAGGAAGCTAAAAGGTGGGGTAGTTTGGGCTGGTGTAGACTTAATGATTCTTCTACGAGCAGGAAATGTAATTGATACACAGATCTTTACAAACAGATTATTTTCAAAGTTATTAAGGCAATTCTCAATAAAAATTAGTTAAAGGAAAGAGGGGAATTGTTTTCCATTCGGTACTTGTTGTTTGAAGTCATTTACCCTAACCCTATGTTATTTCCTCATCTCTTGTAGCTATGCACTGTAACTAAAGGATGAGTGGATTAGAAAATACTACAGAAAATAGAACACCACCAACAATTTAATTCTAATGTGGTTTTGATTTATTTGCTCTCCAACCCTCTCCCTCTCTCTCTCTCATCCCCCTCTCTCTCCACATCTCTCTCTTTCTATCACTCCCCCCCTCTCTCTCTCCTCTCCTCAGTCTCCAAGGTCAGGCAAAGGTTATGGGGAGGTCAGGGGCCGGGGTCCCCAGGGTAGTGGCCCCGTCTCTGACGGCTCATCTACCTCAAAGACTGGAACCGCCAGGCCCCAGGTCAGGGTACGTATGATGAGCACCGCCACACACACACACACACTCACACGCCCACGCATGCATGCTTGCCCACATAGACACACACACACACACACACTAACTTGGGCTGTGTACTCTACCTGGGAAAATGTCTAAAGGGGTTTCTCCCTGTCATCATAGCATTGCATTGCAAACAACACATTTTCCACCTCATTCCATTCTGCAAGTAAGCACATTTAGAAGAAGATTTGCCATTAATTCAAAAGGTGAACTAGTACGCTATTTCTTTTCACCCATCTCTGCACAAAATGTTCTATGATAGGACATAAAAGCTTATTTTTGGCATTCATGACTCAAGTGCCTCAGTCTAGTAGTCAGACAATGTTATGATTAAAATAACAGGAACTCTACTCTCTACATGGTGGCACCTTTACCAGCAAATAGTTTTGAAAATAAGCTATTATCTAATAAGGGATATATATATCGACTGCAGGTAGCTGTTACATTATGCCCTTTCCTCACTCTCTTTCATGGCCTCATCAGAAAGTGCTGGAAGAATGAGAGCCTTTGCTTGGGTAGTCAGTCATCCTCCCTTATGAAATGCGTATTTCACAAAGATGAAGAATACATCAATGACTTCACAGTTTAATTCCAATCCCTGCTGGGAGTCTCTGAGCAAGTTCACATGTACACACAGTACGCATTTAGCCTTACCCACGATTATTTTAATACAGTATACATTTATTCGCCACATTTAGCCTTACTCAACTAGAAGTCACTCACCACAAAGGCAAATCACCTCAGAACTATATATATTCATGGCTCTGTATCCCCTAGTAGTATGAACAAACTGTTACTGAAGGGAGAGTTGCATTTAGTTATGTAGTGATGTCATCCCCAAATGGGCACCCCTGAGACTCTGCTGTCTCCCCTCTGTGAGTCCCCCTGTCCCCCCTCTCCCCCACTGTCCCCATGCTGTCCCATGCCAGCCCTCAGGGCAGGACACGTGAGCCCCAGCCGAGCCCCGGTAGTCTGTACAAACACACATGCCGCCGCCGCAGGTGAGTCATGTCCCCTGTCCCCATGCCAGTGCCAGCCTCAGAAGTCACAGCTAGCTAGCTACACACAGTAGTCAGTTACACAGCTGTATCTGACCCCCGTGACACCCTGGCACCGCCTCGTCTGGCCCACCTGTTCAGCCCCGCTGCAGGCCACACCACTATAAAAGGGGAACAAGTGCAATTAGGCCAATGATGAATACAGACTATGAAGCACTGCTAGATGAATCAGACTGTCTGTACCATGGTCTATGGTTTAGAGACTAATATAACTAGTGTTATCTATACTACAGAGGTATTGTGTCACAGCGTGGTTTGATGAAATACTGTATGTGCATTGAGGACAAATGTTTAAAATACTCGCCCTTCAAATTGTGTTTTTGAGAGTATGTGATGTTGCATTGTAACATCACTGGCATTGTTTGTGTGAGCTGGTCACTACTAAATTAGGTGGAATTTTTAAAGTTAAAATAGCTATAGAACAGGTAGTGTGTTATGATAACCTACTAATTCACTGACATTGAAATGGATCGTTGTGTTCTTTTATTTACAGAGACTATCTGGGAGTGTTTCCACAGCCAACTCCAAAGCCTAGCTGTGAGAGAGGGGTGCAGTGTCTGTGTGCAGTGTCCATCCTGGTGGCCTGTGGCCTGGGCTGGGCTCTCTCCCCTGGTCCCCCTGTTCCCCTGGTGCATGGTTCTGTCCAACCTGCTACTCCAGCTTCCTCCTCTTCCTCCTGGCTGCTGTAACGCTGACCCCTGACCTTTGACCCCCACCGTCCTTTGCTCCTCCAATCCTGTCCCAGACTGGAACTGAGCTACCTCACTGCTCTGCTGACCACCATGCAAACCCCACGTCCATTTTTCACCAAACACACAAACACACACACACAGTTATTCCGCCAGTTTGCATGGCATTTCTCACTATCTCACCGGTACTGTACAACCAGCCGCAGATGTTATAAGCCCAGGGCACAAGTTTTCCTTGTTTGCTGCATCAGAACAAAGTAAGGTGAAATTTGAAGAGGACACATGAGAATCCTATGAGAACAGCACTGCTGAGAGTTCCACAGAGTTCTGAGACTTCCAGCTCCATGGCAACGTGTGTTAAGAAAGAGAGAGAGAAAGAGAGTGATTGTGTTGGCACTCAACTGATGGAGGAAATGGAAGTTGGACCGATATCCTAATGAAAGGCAAAAGCAAGTAGATCTATCTATGCAACACAGCCCAGGTTGGAAACAGCTGAACAGTGTTGTGTAGTAAAAGATTGATGACGACTGTTGACTTCAATTCAGTATCTATCTACCATTTCCTTTTTTTAATTCCTAAGATATAGAGGGAGGGTACGAGGGAAGGTTTTAAACGTCAAAAAATGTGTGCCTTGCTATTGTTGTTTCTTATACCTTTTGTTAAAACACTGCTTACCCAGTTAGGTGTTCAAAAGATGTAGAGAAGAAGAAAGGACAACCGGCAAGGTTGAAGCAGGCATCTGTTTCTATGTATATGATCTCCGACCTTGACGTATAATGATGGTATACATGCTGTGTGTTTAGTGTCAAACTGTACGCGTTCTGTGATGTGGAATATTATCAGCCTTAAAGTGCTAGACTGCATGGTTAATAAATATACAAACATGTTGAGAAATAAACGTAATTTATTGGAAACCATTCGATTACATGCCTGTTCTGTATGTGATTCACCTCAAACATGTACAAGCATCTTTCATCGTTGATCATTTCTCCTCTTCACACTATAAATGCATAAGTGGAACATTAAATGAGAAATAAGGAAGATGTGTCTGCGTCTAAGCCATGATTGGGGATTCGAGGAGTTAGTACTACGAAAAACAGGTGATTGACAAGACTGATTGAGGTTATATGAAAACAGATGTTTAGGGATGTCATTGAATGTCGACTACAAAAAACGACATCAAGTGTATGCTAGCGTCCCAAATGGCACCCTATGGGGGCTTGGTCAAAATTAGTGCATTATAGGGAATAGGGTGTTTACATATCTTGCATTACTCATGTCATATGTACACTATGTATGTGAATATTACGTAAAACAACAGTTTCCTCAGCCATCAGTTGCCATGTTACCGGCTCTTCATCTAGCAGTACGGAACACAGAATAGAAACACTGGATGTTATATTACATTATGAGGTATTTGATTACTGTTGCTTTCCTTACACTTCTATCTTATTAATAGGAACATTCCCAAATAGTTATTTATTCTTATTGTTGCTGAAGGGTTTAGACTTGACTGAAAGGATTTATAAATTAGATGGAAATGCATTCCTACCTTGTCCTCAAAGAAATATAACGTGATAGAAAAAAAGAAAAGAAATGTGCCTTTTTGCAATTAACAAGATCTTTTTGTAAGAAATTGAAATAACTTTAAAGGGAATAAAGGTCATGTGTATCGAACCATGGTGGCTTTGCAATTACCACCAGTCAAAATGTTGATTTGGTGTCTTTGCTTAAACATGGCTGGCAAAATGAATAAGATGACTGGCCACTCTTTGTTGAAAAGATCACACATGATTACGCCATGTCAAAAAGACAAGACGGGGGGAAAAAATGATGTGTAGAAAGTTAGGAAAGGGAGGGATGAAAGAGTCCTGTGATTTAAATGTCACAAACTTATGGGAATATTTCGGGGTGTGGTTGTACTGTGCATCACATTTTTTATCTAATGAACAAAGGATAGTAATGAGTCAAGGCAAAGGTTTTACATTGCAGTCTGAAGTAAAACATTAAAGTATTTTAGTAGCAATTATCCGTCATCGTTGATGGCCTTGTGTGCTTTTGAGAGCTTTCACTGTCTTCCGTTCATTTCCAGAGATGGATAGAATCATTTCCTCATCCTCAAAATGCCAATGTACTTTAATCTGGAAGAGGAAAAGAAGATGGTGGTACGAATTGAAAACAGATTCACTGAAGCTTATGTGCTACATTATAGGCTTATGTATAGCCAGGCCATTAGAGACTCCCACGTTGTTCACTATGACAATCAATGTGAGTGATGACAAGCTTATACATTGGACACACACAAAATAACAAAATATGCCATGTGAAAGTCATATACTTCAAAAGTTTAATAATTGGAAAAGAGATGTGAAAGAATGTTAAAGTGGTCAAAACAAAAGACAACCAGGTGTGAGTTGATCATTGTGGTAAGCAGTGGCTGACATCAACAGTGTGTGTGTGTGTGTGTGTGTGTGTGTGTGTGTGTGTGTGTGTGTGTGTGTGTGTGTGTGTGTGTGTGTGTGTGTGTGTGTGTATGTGTGTGTGTGTGTGTGTGTGTCTGAGGGCCCGGGCGATGACAGGGGTGCTGGCCCCATCAGTGGACCAGGGATTGTGCTGAGTGTGTTCATGTAATTTGAGAGGTTTAGGTGATTGGATTTCAGACATGTCATCAAACCGCATTAAGAAACAATTTGATATGGAATCGCATAGGAGTCTGAAAGGGCAGTGCGGGAGCTTATAATCGAGGATAAATAAAAGCAAGGATGTCATCTCCACTTGGACATTCCGATCAATCATTAGCATATTGAAAGTATTTTTTCCTGAATGTCCCATCTGTAATTCCTCACAACAGTTAATTCATCATTTCTCTTGAGCCAAGAGTCATCTTCAAAACACAGGGAAGCAATATTTCAGATCACATTAGGGGGGTTGAGTAAAATGTGAGTGTTTTCCTTGCCCTATGCCTCCCTGGCTTTTAAAATTCACAAGCTAACCTATCCATCAGATTGGACAATGGAAATTAAGTGATTAAAGTAAGAATCCGATCAAAGGTGCTCTGTCACCACAAAAAATTACCCTTACTGACATGTATTATCTTTACAGTAAACATGGGATGGTTGCTTAAACAGAGATGAACCCTGGTCCTGGAGTAAAAAGCTCTTTCAATGGGCTTTCTCTCCACTGAGAATGCTTTTTAGTCCTGGACTAGGCTTGATCTGTGTCGGGGAAACCGGCCCTACATGAGTTTAAAAAACGGTGGTATAGTGCATAGTGAAAACTTGTGAGAACTTGACTATCTGTGATATTAAAACCAAACTGTATATATGCAACTACAGGTGTATGATCTTAATTTGATCACTTTTGTTGCTGAGAATTTTCCTACACCGCAGGAAATGCAGATGAGCTTCATGATTTACATAAATTCACTGAAAACGCACACTAACACACGGTTATATTAACAGTATTACACTTTTCAGGTAGCCTACTTTTGGCCAGCTAATAGCCTAACCACCGATCAAGCAACATTATGGACTAAACATTCAAATCATGTTGCTGAAGGATTATTTAGCTGTGACAATATAGGTCAAATTAAGATCCTAAATCTGTATTGTCCTTTAAATCCATTTTGAAGTTGGATTTCCATTAACACATATCTCAGACCAAAACTCAAACAGTGCTTTATCCTCCCTAAGACATTACAAAACAAGTCTCCTCCCAGACAAAAGAGATAAATGTATGAATCACCTATAAGACTTGGATCTTTGGTACTCACAAAAGAAAGATGAAATTAGGATTCTGAGAAGCGGCTTCAATTATCCACTTCTGATACAAGAAGGAATGATGACCTCTGGAATCACAGTGTTATCATATAGAAGGCTAACACTCATTCTCAACCAGACATTCTAAAACAGTGTTATCACATAGAGACAGCTCACTCTCTCATTCTGGAGGAGACATGCAAAGTTCCGATAAGGTAAATGACACAGCTACTTGTAGAATTGCATGGTATGATAGCATGTCCTCCAAAATGTGTCCTTCCTTAGCTTCATACAACATGGATCTTATGGGATTGTTATCATGAGTCAGTCAAAGAGGGAGGAGTTTTATGAAAAGAGAGGAGAACAAAAACTAGCAAAATAGAATCAGTCAAATAGGTGTTAGTGATGGACTTTTGCTCTGACCTCTGCAGACTCTGCGTTGTGTTCTGTTTGGGGTTGGCAATATGTGATGGAGACAGGTTCAGCTAGCTAACAGCAGGGCTTTTGACAGTATTTATCCATCCTCACATTATTAAGCTAATTGGTCAATATGGCACTGGGAAAAATGTCAATTACTTGGTCACTGGTCCTCGGTAAAGAGATTGCTTCCTTGCCCTTAATAGCCTATACCTACCAAAGTCTGTTGTGCCCCCCCCCCTTCCTAAAGTCGAAAGATTATACTTGATTTTAATGTTTCTAGGGAGAATAAGAACCATTCTGATTGAGAAGCATGTTACGTCCTCTGAAATCAGGTGCAGGCATGTCCCCAAATGATTACTATTCAATTAAGCTCCGTTAAAGAGCACAACCTCCTTAGCTACACTGCTCTATTCACTGTAAGTGCCCATGCAGAATAAAGTGCCTGGCCCTAGTTGTATACCACATACCATTGATTATCATTATTTTCTAAGAGCGAGAACGAGAGGGGTGGAAGGAAAGAGAGAGGAGAGAGCGAGAGAGAACCACTATACCTGAAATGTCATGCGGGAGAAGAGGAGCAGTTGCAGCTGCCCCCAATCTGTCTCATGTACTTTAGCAAAGAACTGTAGAAAAATAAATGCAATACAGAGCCCTCCAAATAACTGAGCAGGTAAACAGCAGCAGAGACTGTTCATCTAATTGTATCAGGAGCCTGCAATGTCGGTTTAAAGCCTCCAGTGCAATTCATTTGATTTCATTACA